GCCGGCTTATGGTTATTGCAAATCTGGGGGGTAAATTTACCACCCGCTTATGTATGCCTTGTGCCGGAAAGAGGAGTAAGCATTTCTGGCATCACAAGGACTGTGCAAACACTAGGGCGTCCGTAGTGTAGGATAAGCACTGGTAAAAGGTATAAGGAGCAGAGTGTCTTGAGGAAATAGCCGGCTTATGGTTATGAAATTTACCCCCCGCTTATGTATACCTTGAGCCGGAACGAGGGGTAAGCATCACAAGGACTGTGCATACACTAGGGCGTCCGTAGTGTAGGATAAGCACTGGTAAAAAGGATGTAAAAGGTATCAGGAATAGAGTGTCTTGAGGAAATAGCCTGTGTATGGTTATAGCAAGCCTTGGGAGTAAATTTACCACCCGCTTATGCATGCACTAGGTTAGAAATAGGGTAAACAACTTGTAAGGGTGAAGTACAAGTCCTATGCAGCAAGCAGCAACCAGCAGCAGCAGCAGCAGCAGAAGCAGCCGCCTGCAGCCAGCAGCCAGCAGCAACCGCCAAGCAGCCAGCCAGCAGCACCACGCAGCAGCAGCGCAGCACCAAGCCGCAGCAGCAGCAGCAGCAGCGCCACCGGCAGCAAGCAGCAAGCAGCATCGTCAGCAACAGCAGCACCAAGCCGCAACAAGTAGCAAAGCATGAGCTACCTCAAATGATCTCAAATATACACGCAACTCCTTATCATTATACCTATCAGTTTGTTAACTTCTGCATTGAATGAGCCGCTCGAACCAGCAAAACGACGCCAACCGCTGAAGGAACGACGTAGCATGGAGGTGAAATGGAGCGCGCTCACCGTAGGACATGCCTTGACCAAGGATTGTAGATGCAATTGCACAAACATATGCACACCTTGCCGCTGTCTGAACACCAGCAGAGCTATCACGCAATTCATTCAGTGGAATGCTGGTATGCACCACAACAATAAGCGAAGCGGCGCAGCTGGGAGTTGAACCGCGGGGGGGGGGGGGGGGGGGGGTGAAAGAGTGACTAGGGCGTACACGGTTGAGGTGCAGACCGCTAGTGTCTTTTGTACGCAGAGTCTTATCCTCTTGAGCCTTATGGCAGTCAAGCATGGACACACTAGATAGGCCACTGGAGTGGAACCTGTACAAGTAGGCCTCTACATTTCAGCAGGCACAAAATTCATGTCCACTCCTGCCTATTGCGTATGTCGCACACTATTTTTCTACCGCAAGGCTAAAACAGTCCAGCAAGCTCTAGTAAGCGTGAAAAGGAAACCACGGTGCCCTGTACTTACCAATTCCAGTGTGTTGCACACTTTAGAAAAGGTAATCTCTAGGTATACTAAATACAGTGAGGGAGCGATAGCTTACTCACCTCAAATACAAAGTCAAAGACAATGTGTCTCGGCTGGAGACTGTATCGTTCACCGGCGAAGATACCATGTACCGGCGCTCAATAGCCCTTAAATAGCCAGAGCTCTAAAGAACTATAAATTCAAAGGAAAGCGGCTTCCTTGCACAGAGACCTATAAAAGCAGTAAACGACACTCGCGTAACGAAGAACTAAAATTTCAAGACCGCGCAAACTGCAATGAATTAAGATGCCTTGCAAAATGCAAGGAGCGTGAATGATTCGGTCCGAGGAATGTTCTTCTCGAAAAGTGGTCTCGGCCGCTTCCATACACAGGACTTATTTTAAAAGTGAAAATGCATCAAAAGGACTCTCTCACATTGACACCAAAATCAGCCAAAAACAAAAGGAAGGAGACACCGGCAAATGTATGTACAACAACTTGCACTACAAATGCAAACTCATAAAATGACTTAATCATCAACCATAAATGGTTGTACATTAGAGGTCATTTCAAAAGAGCGGCTGTGGTAGATATCATCAGTTTTGTAAAACTGTCCATACCTACCTGCAGATAATAACCGTTTAGTAACTGTATTTATCTGCATGCTAAAGTGTATAAACCTGGAATGCAGGAGTATCTTCTTTGATAAAAAGTTTCTCCTTGTTGCCAACCAGAGTTCATTAAAACTTCAGCCTGGCAACTTAAAGTCAAGCCTGGAAGCAAAGTATCAACTGTAATCAGAAGTATCTTCACTTCCTAGCCATCGTTTAAATTTCAGCCTCCGCTCTGAATTTATGCCGCTGCAGTCGATGAAGCTGCTTGATCAGAAGTTGGCGGCCTTCCTTTCCTTTTATTCTCTTTCTGTCTCTCCTTCCTTCGCAAGTTAGCATCTCGAAGAGTCTCGCCCGAGCGATAAAGCCTTCTGTCCCCAGATGAAAAGGAAGCTGGTCTGAGTGAAATAAACATAGGACCATGACTGTCATCGTCAGAGGGTCTTGAGCACAAAACCGTGTCAATCATGGCAAAGTTCTCTCAGAAATTTTCCGAGACGAACCCCTTCGTGCTCACTGTGGAATTTGAATATTCCTCTCCACTCATTGAATGACCCCATTCAACAATGGTGGACAAACATGTATCGCCAAGCCTTGATCCCTGGTATACTTCTTTTTCTTCTGTAGAGTATTCTTCCCAGAGTTTCTCAAAGTAAACTTCACACTGCTTGAGGACAAGTGAAGATGAACTGTAAAATGTTCTGGGAATAGGTGCTTTGATACCAGGATCTGCTTTTACACGGGCTTCTGAAAACTTGCGGATCCAATGCTGCATGGTGCTGTAATAATAGTTAGCCATTGGCTGCCTTTTGTATCCAGACATTCTGTAGGCCAAACTATTTGCATCGCCAGAAATGATGTCCACCTCATATACAAAACACTCATAAAGCATCAATGCTGTCTGTTCTCCTGTCAATAGGTGGGCATCCACAGCACGGTGTGTATCAACGTGATAATTACAGACTCTGATGGTATGCATGTTCGCTCGAGTGAGTGGAACACGCTGTTCCTGAGGACCATAGTCCGCAAATTCAAAGTCTGCATCCTTGAATTCTTGACGAGGCCTTGTTTCTCCAAAACAAATCTCGTAGATAGCCCAAGTTACATCACGCTGTGGACAGTGACCAAGTTCTTGATCATGTCCAGCAATGATCTTGACATATCCACCTGGTGCCAATCTAGCCATCACTGCAAGATTCTCCCAATCATTGAAACAAACTGTCCAATTCTGTTGCTCAATAAAACCCTTGGCAGGAACAAGGAGATGAGCTTCCTGGAGAATCACGACATGTGCACGTAAAAAGAAGAGCATGTTGAAGCAAAGGTTGTTTTCAAATTGCTCATATTGAAGTGACATGTCACTCTGTCTGCGTGGCTTCATTGCACGATCAAGTCCTTGGAGAAACTTTGGTGTGGTGTATTTCTGACCACGAACCATGTTGCCATAGTTCCAGGATAAAAATGTCAGGGACTCTGAGCTGGCCAATAAGTTAGTTTCATATTGTTCTTCTATTCTTCCTTTGAGGAATCTTTTGCACAGCTCTTCATAGAAGGTGACAAAGTCCCAACTGGGTCCCTTAGGACCATATTCTTCCAGTTCTTCTCTAAGTTGATTCTTTGTATCCTCCAAATCTGCTCGAGCTTGTTCTGCCCTTTCAAGGGTCCTTGGATCGACCTGATACTTGTCATCCAAATAAATGATGCGGTCGTCATTGATGAAAAATCTCTTCAAATCATGCTCTGAGCTGTCCTCATAACAATCAGGTGGAGGTACTGGACAGACCTTTCGAATGGATCGAACAAAGTCGTTCTCGTTGATCCTTGACTGATAGTGAGGATGGGAAATCTCACCTTTTCTGAAACAAACATGGTTCAACAATCTCGCGTGAGTTTCCCTGAAGCATTGTTGATAAAAACCAATACCTGGTTCTCCTGTAAGCTCTCCAAACAACCTCAAAGGTGAAGTATGCAACTCATAGGTATTGTCACCTTCCACTGGATCAGGATCAACAACTACTTCAGATGGAAAAGATTCTTGGATTTCAGCCTCCAATTTCTTCTCTCCATCATCCTCTCTGACCTCTCTTATCTTCTCCACCGCCTTCTTCTTCTCCTCAACGTTTGCATCATCCTGAACTTCTTCATGAAAATGAGGATCAGGAATTTTATTCAGGCGGCTTTTCTTGGATTTCCGCAGACCTGAAGTATCATCAAGGTTAGCATCCTTCTCACCTGATGGTAAGTACGATGCAGCTGAGTCCTCACCTATCTCTCTTGACAGAAAGTGTGATGTTGACTCATTCTTGGCTTCCTCCTGGTCCACTTCCATCTTCATGTCCTCTGAAGGAAAGACACCTGTATTCTCATCAAAAACTTCTTCGTCTTTCACGAGTTCAACTGCAGGATCTTCTTCATGGACTTCCTCTTCCATATCTTCACCTTCCTTGATCTCCATACTACCAGTAAAGATCTCACCAGTGATAGTGGAGACTCTTGTGTAAGGAGGAACTTCTTCACCTGCCTCAAAAGCTTGTTCTGCGACATCCTTGGTGAGCAAGTCCTCTACAAGATTTTCTCCCATGGTTCTTGGAAGGGATTCTGAGGTCTCAAAATA